TGTCCCATCCAGCCATTCCTCCTTTTGCTGATCTAGAATCACCACAGTGGTAGGGTTGGGGAGAAGTAGGGGCAGGACTACTGAAGATGATGCCCTAACACTACTTAAGAACAATGGAAATTCTAAACGAGAGGGTAGTGGGCTTCTTGGTGCTTAATGTGATGAGGCATCATTTTTGAATGTTGACTGCATGCTTGTGAGATGCTAGTTAGCATGAATTGGAATCTTTCATGGGGTTTATCAAGAGAGCTTCTTAATAAAAGTGAAAGAGAAGAGTGAAAAAGTTAGCTTAAAACTCAGCATTCAGGAAAACTAACATCATGGCATCTGCTCCCATCACTTTCTGGCAAATAGATGGGGAGACAGTGGAAACAGTGACAGACTTTATTTTGGGGGTCTCCAAAATCACTGCAGATGGTGACTGCAATCATGAAATTAAAAGATGCTTGCTCCTTGGAAGAAAAGTTATGACTGACCTGGACAGCATATTAAAAAGCAGAGACATTACTTTGACAACAAAGGTCCGTCTAGTCAAAGCTATGGTTTTTCCAGTAGCCATGTATGGATGTGAGGGTTGGACTATAAAGAAAGCTGAGTGCTGAAGAACTGATGCTTTTGAACTGTGGTGTTGGAGAAGACTCTTAAGAGTCCCTTGTACTGCAAGGAGATCCAACCAGTCCATCCTAAAGGAAATCAGTCCTGGATATTAATTGGAAGGACTGATACTGAAGCTGAAACTCTAATACTTTGGCCACTTGATGTGAAGAACTGACTCATTTGAAAGACCCTGATGCTGGGAAAGACTGAAGGTGGGAGAAGGGGACAACAGAGGATGAGCTGGTTGGATGGCATCACTGACTCAATGGACATGAGTTTAAGTAAGCTCGGGGAGTTGGTGATGGACAGGGAGGCCAGGCACACTGCAGTCCATGGAGCTGCAAAACATCGGACACGACTGAGTGACTGAACTGACTGATGGGGTTTATGGAGTTCTAAGAATAAAGATGATATTGTACATTTAATTGAAAATTGGGAGAAAATATAGAAACATCACAAGGGCCAAGGGTGGATTCTCAGAATAACTTGGAAACTTCCAGTATTCTCTGTTGGGTGTATTAGCAAGCACTTGCAGTCTCATCAAAGAATGTGCCCAGGGAACAGACAGCTGTGTTCTCTCACCTGGCAGAGCTGTGAGTCTGCTTGCTGGGAATCCCATGGGCCCTACAACTGTCCTTCAGATGTCAAAATCCATTTCAGTAGCATACATAATTCAGGAATAAACCAGAGAGCTAGAATTTCTGATTGTCCGTCTGGAGCTGTCCTGTATACACCCATGATAAACTGTACAGAAATGAGACATTCAGGAAAATTTTACCAGTCCAGAGCAGAATCTAGAATAACAGTAGAGCTATTGTTGTTCAGTAAGTAAGTCATGTCCAACTCTTTGCAACCCCATGGACTGCAGCACGCCAGGCTCCTGTCTCCACTATCTCCTGGAGTTTGCTCAAATTCATGTCCATTGAATCGGTGATGCTATCTAACTATCTCATCCTCTGCCATTCCCTTCTCCTCCTGCCCTCAATCTTCCCCAGCGTCAAGGTCTTTTCCAGTGAGTTGGCTCTTGGCATCAGGTGGCCAAAGTATTGGAGCTTCAACTGCAGTGTCAGTCCTTCCGGTGAATATTCGGAGTTGACTTCCTTTAGGAGTGACTGGTTTGATCTCCTTGCTGACCAAGGACTCTCAAGAGTCTTCTCTTCTAGTGGCGCTCTTACATGGCTGCTCTGTTCTCCACACTGTCTAACTCTGGAGAAGTGTGCCTCAACTCTTGTTGTCAAGTGGAAGGGGATTGGTAAGTAAATCTAATCATGCAACCTCATTCCTGATTTCCTTGGCTCTTAGGATAGAGATGAAATTTCTTATTGGGTCAAAAGGGTAGTTGGCTTCCACCAACACCTCCAATCTCATCTCCTCCAGGATCTTCTTTTACTTTATAATCACAGTCTTCATCAGCCTCATGTATCCATGTTACTTCCTGCTATCACAGGGCATTTTCTAGTGACATAACCTCTACTACATTCCTTTCCTTTCCTTTTTGTTCTTTACTCTGACACCCTTCAGATCTTGGGTTAATCATTAATTTCTTGGGAAAGCTCTTGGACCTGCCTAAACAAATCAAATAATATTATAGATTTTTCAAAGAGAATGTATTTGTCTATAGTGGCACTTGTAACTGTTGCATTTTCACAATTATTTTTATGATTTGATCCATGTCTGCATTCCCCCACTAGACTCTAAGCAATTATGAGAAGAGAAAACTTACCTGTGTTGTTCATTATTCTATCCCTAGTGCCGGCAGTGGTTCTTGACATATAGTGGTGCCCACTTTAACTCATGTCTGTATCCTCATCAAAAATGCCTAGAACCTTTGGGGAGCAGAAAGAACTCCTGCAGAAATGGTTCATTGGCCTGCCTACAGACAGAATATAGGATAAGGATGGTCTCTGCTGCCCTGAAAGTACGCCATCAGCTGAGCTGAATGAGAGATGCTGAATTCAGAAGTTGTGATACTGTACAAAAATAAGCAATATAATATAACAGTTGCCAAGATAACACTTCAGAATCATGAAGAAAAGAGCAACAATATAAACCTATCAAAGAATCTTAGGATGTTAAATCTGGAAGGATTGTTCGGTGTTACTTAACAATAATAGGTAGTCAATGGGAGTTTGCTATGTGCTGTAGGAAGCTCAACTCAGTGTTCTGTGACAATCCAGAGGGGTGGGATGGGGTAGGAGATGGGAGGGAGATTCCAGAGAGAGGGGACATATGTATACCTGTGACTGATTCATGTTGATGTATGGCAGAAGTAGCACAATATTGTAAAGCAATTATCTCTCAATTAATTCTTTTTTTTTTAATGAGAAAGCAAAAGCCTAGCAGTAGGATATTAAGACAAAAATCCAAGGTTCCTTGCCTATAGTGCATACTTTCTTGGCCACACCATTCTGCATCTAAAAAATAGTTGCTCTCTGAGATACTTGGACTTTCAAAAATAAATTGGGGGAGGGGAGAAGTCAGTGGGATTTATGTCCTGTACAGAGATAATCTATAGCCTTGGTTTTTTTTTTCTTGCTATAGGAATGCAAAAAAAAAAAAAAAAAAGACTGAATATTATCTCTGAAACATATTATGTGGAGAATGGCAGTATGGCAGTCACCCAAAAAAGCTTTTACTGTTTCTGGAGTGTTTGTTAGGATACATTAAAGCTATTTTTTTTAATATAAAAGGCAGTCCCACTCCCTGCTCCCACTAAATGAGAGATGAAAAATGACAGGGATGGTAATTACAGGTCAGACCCCCATTCGAGAAGTTAGCCAATCATCTAGTCAGGGATTCTCTGCACCTTATGGAAAGTTCTGCTTCTATAGCTATTCCACATCAGAGAGTTAATTTCTGCAAATATTCGGCATACATATCCAAAGTGATGCTTTCAAATTGTGGTGCTAGAGAAGACTCTTGAGAGTCTCTTGGACAGTAAGGAGATAAAACCAGTTAATCCTAAAGGAAATCAACCCTGAATATTCATTGGAAGGATTATGCTGAAGCTGAAGCTCCAATACTTTGGCCACCTGATGTGAAGAACCAACTCATTGGAAAATACCCTGATGCTGGGAAAGATTGAGGGCAGAAAGAGAAGAGGGCAGCAGAGGGTGAGACAGTTGGATGGCATCATTGACTCAATGGACATGAATTTGAGTGAACTCCAGGAGATAGTGGAGAAGAGGGAGCCTGGTGCACTACAGTCCATGGGGTTGCAAAAAGATGGACATGACTTAGGACTGAACAACAGCAACAAATCTAAATCTAAATTCGTTTAGATTCTAAACAAATCTAAATCTTCAAGCTACAGTGATTTGATGTCCAAAATTCTAAAGCTGTATTATTTTTGTTAAAACCAGAAACTTCAACATTGAGCTTGATCATAAATTGAAATGCTTCAAAGGTCATTAAAAATAAATAAAAACATATGTAAATAATAGAGGAGAGAAAGTTAAGGGAAAGTCAATCACCCAGGCTTCTATAATAATAAGGCAACATCTGATATAGTGACTAGTGACTGTGCTATGAATATAATTTGAATGATTTGGGTCAATTCTTCCCCCCACCCCCTCACCTGCCACATACCTTTGAGAAAGACTAGAAGGGAATACAATAGAATGATTCTTGTGATTGTTCTTTGCATTTCTTCATTTCTTTGATTTACTTTTTATGAAGTTATTTTTATTACTAAAAATTACTTCTTTGAGTAAGTCACTTAATATGGCTAACTAAACTAGAATAAAATTCCCCTCCCATATCACACTTTCCAGTGCAAACCTACTGGTCAAGTCTTGGCAATTTTTTTCTTTGTCAGCCCCCAGTTTAGCAAGATATTTACAGGGAAGGTGCCCAGATAAAGCATTCAAACGTTCATCATAAATAACTCTTAACCAGAGGTAGATGTATTATCAGACTAATGATTCATAAGCTTCTCATTTTTGTAAGCCCCTCCTAACCCCTGGGAGGGTTGCTGGTAATATCATATTCCAACTATTGAGTTAATTTTCTTAAAGAGCCCCTCACCCAGGTGAGTAAGTTTTATATTCTAAAAATTTAATTTGAACTCTGCTTTCATAGGAATAATGAGTGTAGGAAACCCCATCTGGTCATTACTTTTGCCATTAACTTGAATCCTAGTGAATGAATGTCCTCTCTCTCACAGTTTTGACACGTTCAGTCTTGAGTGTCCTCTGCAAGTCCATGTCTGAGTGTTCTCTTGTGTTATCTATTAAGCACCACCCACAAATGGCCCAGTCAGTGATGGATTGCTCTGCAATTAGCTGATTTAACCTATAAGTATTTGTTAGACTTCCTCTTATTTCCCCCCAATAGTTGATGCTTATATATCTTTTTTTTTCCAGCAAAATGTTAAATCCTTATATATGTTTACCTGTAAAAAGTATGCTCCGCTTTAATGACTTCAGGCAATAATATGCTGAATTTACCACTGCTGCCTTCAATGGTATAGTTCTGAGGGCAGTATCTCAGTCTGAAATGTTGTTGGTAAACTTGTTACTCTCACATTTCATAGTGGATTTCCAGGAACAACAGCAAAAAATCAATTCCTGACCCCTAATGGGACATCCTTTTATGTCTCTCATGTCCTCATTCTCTGTTTCTTTTGTCAAAACTCAAGAAGGGAGCAGTGAATGAGTAGAAGTTCTGTATCCCATTGAATATCTGGCTTTGTTTTGGGTCAGCTTCAAAGGTGCCATATCTCTAGGGAAACATGAAAAGAATTCTCATAAGGAAAGTATTTCTAAAAATGCTTTACAAAGACAGGCTTTAGTGGAAATGGCAAGTAATGCCCAGAAGAGTCTCCAAATGTTGATTCTTAAAATGAACCTGCCACTGACCTGACACTGAATGATGAAAACAGAAAGGTGAGACGTTTTCTTGCCAGGGCGATGTCACTGGCTTTGCACAGCTTCTGATGAGAGACCACATTTAAGGGGGATGCTTCTGTTTATATGAACTGGAAAGACACAATGGTTCATACTGTAATGTAGCCAGTGGGAGCCATTCTCCCAAGGGAGCCAGAGCTCTCTGTCCAAGGAGATAGAAATGAGAAGGATGAGTCTTTGGATTCATTCTTTCTTTTTCCCCCTAATTTGAAAGATAAAGAACTTGACAGTTTTTTAAATTATTATTTTGAAACCTTCCTGCTAGGCATAGTTATTCTGCTATAATAGCTCAACATAAATGGATCTAACAGCAAAGCTATTTTCGGGTGGAAGTATATGTTAAATCTTCAGCACCTACTGTGTGTCTCTGGACCAGTTTCTTTAGAAACTGTACATGTAAAATCTCCATATTCTCCACATGATTTCCGTGTAATCTCCATTGACTCTTCACATTAACTCCGTGAGATGAATGTGGCCCTTTCTCATTTCTCCACTTGAAGAAACTGAAATGTCAGGAAGTTATGCAACTTATTTGAGATTTACCTGATAAGTGGTCGATCTGGGATCTAAACGTGACCCCAAGCACACATCTCATGAGGCCACATGTGGTCTGTCCTCTTCAGTCCCAGGTTAACACTTACTTTCAGGACATGACTGTTGATAAAGTGTTGGCTGTATTATGTCCACACTACACATGCAGAAACCAGTTAACAGAGGAGACTGTACAACCATGCAAGACCCTTGAGAAAATCATGCTGGAAGATTGAACATACCAAGTATTAGTGCTAGTGTTGGCACACAGAGAGACTGGGTTTCATAATCACAACATTCATACACAAAGATTAAATCCACATGCGACCAGAATCTACCTTTGCTATTGAGAATTTCTTACTGCTAATGCCAGTAATTTATAGAGCTTCTTAAAGAAAAGGAGAAGAAAGGAAAGATGGGACGTTCTATCTAGATGCAAAATCAGAGTGGACTGTTACAGGTATTGACCTGAAGGTATCGCACCAGTTTGTGACAATAAATGGAAGTGTCTGGGGACAAAAGTAATAAGCCCATTATGTTACATTGTACATGCTGTAATGAATCCAGGAAAGATTGGTGTGAGCAAATTATGGCTGGCTCAGCAGATTTCTAGAAGGTGGTAGATTCCCAACACTTTCAGATTTCCAGTTGTGTTCTGAGCTTTATTAATGAGCTACATTCTGAAATCTTGGAGCTGAGCAGATGAAAAACTCTAGAAGTTAGAAATGGATTCAGTATCTGCTTTCATGCCTTGTGGTATAGCTCTTAACCTGCTGCAGACTGGGTTTGAGAATGAAGGTCAAAAATGTAATGGGTTTGAAAATGAAGGTTGAAAATGGAACAGTAGCTTCCTAGCATAGGAGAATATTTTTTTCTGTATACATTTCCTCTCCAGCTTAATTTCTATGATAAACTCCCTAAAATGCAGTAAATAATTTACAGTGTTAGTATCACAGCAACAGCAGGTCTGTATGGGTTGGCTGTCGATTTATATCTAAAATAAATGGTATCTTTCAGAAAGAAGGATGGATGTGGTAAGATGTGTGGTTCTATGTTCTCACTGTTGTCAGCCTGTGCTTTTGTGCCAGCATGTCTGTGTAATCTAACTTGATTATATCTGCAGCTGCCCATGTGTCCATGCCGGGTATCTTCATGAAATTGTTTAAAAAGAGTACACACACCTACTCACATCTCACAGAAATGCAGGAAGGACTTACACTGGTGTCGTGTCCCTCAAGGTAGACCCTCTGTTTTAGCCTTTCCAGAGAATAAACCACTCTTTTTAGAGGGAGGAAGTGGGGAGGAGAGCATAGGGGAGGATCTGATATTTTCTAAACATAATCAGGATGAAAATTGGGAGATCTAGCTATTTACTCAACAGAATTTCAAAAACACCCTCCTGTTTCAGTTCTGCTTTTACGTCACTTCCAGTGGTTCCAGACACTACAAAAACCTGATTTCTTGAAGGAAGAGGTTATTTCTACAAAGCAGGTTTGGCATCCCTTAGATTTCTGCTTTTTTAGAGTTAGACTTTCTCGGCTCAGTTTACATCAATTACCACCAGCTGTTTTGCTTTACCTTTTCCCAAAGTTTTACTAAACAAATTGCTTCTTCTTTTTGTCCTTTATGTCTTTTATTCATTTTGTCAGTTTAGTGAGGTTTTGGAAAGAAGCAGAGGTATTAATAAATCTATGTTCAACTTGCCTTCTCTAATTAGAATTGTGTTTTATTCTCTAGCTTGTATCTCTTCAGTCTCCATCTTTATTTAGGGATTCTGGTATGATACTATAGTATGAATCTCCCTGTATTTTGATGCCAAGGGAGAGATAGTCTAGATGAGTTTTAGAAATGTTCCTCTCAGACCAGCTACAAAAAGAAACTGCAGATGAATTAAAAACTGCTGATTACCTTACCCTGCAAAAGACCAGAATTTCTGGGGCTAGACCTGGAACTAGGAATTATTTTTATCCTCAAAAATATATGCATGTATCCTTTGTTACTAGGCTGGGGGTATATTAGATCATTTTAAAAATGATTGTTCTAATCCAGTTTATTGTCTGTGTTCTAAACTGGGAGGTGTTGATGTCATTGCCTTGATCCTGAAGATAAGTAAATTCTACAGTGTACCTCAATCCTTTGTTTGTTATATAAGGAACACTTGTTGGTGAATTTAAGAAGCACAGCTGATGCAAGAAAAATTAGACTTATAGAAATAGTGTAAACTAAAATTGCACTGTGATAGTTGAAAACTAACTCAGGGATAATATCTCATGGGAACACTGAGAAATGCAAAAATTGACCCAAGAAAATTAGACATATGAAAAACAAATGGAACAAAATATAACTGAGAATGGCTGACACTGCACATAATAACATTTTTATTGACTAAAAATTAATAGAAAAATAAAATATTCTTGACAAAATTTAGATCTGCAAAAAATTACTAAAAAATGGATTTGATGGAACTAATAAGCACATGCATACAAAAACAAAAGCCCTACATGCAAAATGCTGACATTAATTAATGGATTTCAATATGAACAAAAAACCTTGATCTTTCAATTATTCATTGTACAGTTTACACAGAAAAAGCATTGGTAACAATAAAGACATTTTTAGCAAAGTGAGCATGAAAAAAAAAGATATAAAAAGTGTAAAGGCATTGTATAGAATATGGATCAAAGAATGAAATTAGTAATTGGAATTTTGTTCAGAAAATACTATCTCTACAAAAAGTCAATACTGTTCATAAAATCATGATTTAAATATTTGTATGTGTATCAAGAATTTAAACATTCTTTCTGTCAAAATCTCACTTGTCCTTAACTCATTTTCAAGCTAGTGTTCATGGCTAGAAAAATTGTTTTCTATGAATAATGCCATATGAACACATAGGTAGAAAAGTACAAGAGTGTATAGTCTGTGGACAGAGAATGTTGCCTGCTATTCTGGTAAACAATAAATGCTGCCATCAAGCCATCAGCCACTATAATTGCCTTAGGGGAATTCAGGGTGGAGGGAAAACAGGATACTAGCCCTAGATAGTTAAGATGCATATCACAGGAATAATTTCAATGAGCCCAGACTCTCAGATCTTCCCATACATAGGAAGGCATAAAGGTCATTAACTTGAAATGTCTGTTTTTTTGTGATTATCGGTAACCTTTTGATGTTCAACTACATGTTTTTGTTGTTCTTGTTTTATCAGCAAACCTCCTACATAACCTAGCTTCTTCCTTACCTCTTTGGAATAGTTCTTGTTCCCTGAATAAAACAAGACATACAATTTTTAGGTTGTATGGTTTTTTCCAGTTCACAGGTCTGACTGAGTACTTGACATTGAAATTCACTATAAGCTAGAAATTCTGCTGAATTGAACCAGGATCCTGGCTCTCCCAGCTCTCTGATCTAAGACTGAGACAGATGCAGCTGGGAGAGTATTTGCATATAATAGTATATCAGAAGGGTTTGTTGACTTATGTTTTACTGAACTACCTCAACAGAATTTGCTCAATCCTTGAACATAATTTGTTTATAGCCCAGATCATTATCTATTTCTTGACATGTTTGTATGTTCCCCAGTTCTAAGGACTTTCTACTTTCAGCCTATGCTGAGTCTCCTCCCCTGACAATCTGACTTTCAGATGCCTCCTGACCCCTGGCAGATCCTTAGATCAGAAGTAGTATGTCCCCTTTTAATTCCAATTTAACTTCTTTATTCTCTTTCTCTAACAAATCTGCCTTGAGTCTTGTTTTACCTTTTATCTCTTTTCTGTCAATCAGTCCTTGTATAGTATTCAATTTAGTGCTAGATACAAGATAAGTTAAAAATTGCATGCAAATGTATGGTAAAAATTAAATCATAAATCTGTACATAAAAGCAATACCATAGTCCTAAGGGGGTATTAGGAGGTGGAATTTGTCAGAGCAATCATGGTGAGATGTATGGTCTTTGTTCAAGAAAGACTTCCATAAGAAGTCTATGGTGGTATTGTTTAGTCACCAAGTCATGTCTGTCTCTTTGTGACCCCATAGACTGTAGTCGCCCAGGCTACTCTATCCATGGAATTTCCCAGGCAAAAATTATGGAGTGGGTTGCCATTTCCCTCTCCAGGGGATCTTCTCAACGCAGGGATCGAACCCACATCTCTGGCAGGCAGTTTCTTTACCTCTGAACCACCAAGGAAGCCCCATAAGAAGACTGTGTTGGGCAGTTAAACCATCCTGTTTCTTAGAGAAGCTTTCAGTGTACCTTCACTTTTTGTTTAAAATACAATCCTAGGACACAAAGGAACCTGTGTACAAGAGCAAATATATAAACAAATCCTATGCTAAATATCAGTTATTTGAATTGTATCACTTTTGATTTTACTCCTCACTTTGTTTTTACATTCATGTGAATCTTTGAAGATTGATTCTTCTGTAAAACCTCTTCAATTTTGCAATAAATATGTACATATTAAGGAAATCATATGGGAAGGAGGGAAGACATTCCTAATATGTATATTTATGACTGCTTTGTAAACAAGTATGGTAGAAAAAGATTTGTTTGGTCGTGAGAATGTACTATGTTGTTGGCAGAAGAAAAACATTTTAAACCAGTATTTTGAAGCAGTCAATTCACAGTTCAAGAAAAATACACAAAGTAAGTTAAATTAAAATCATTACCCTGTACCTGATAGAAATATGTACAACAGAAATGAGAAAATAGAACTTAGAATTTAAAAGAGCAATTAGAGATCATTTAGAACAATTTCCATATGTTATAATGAAGAAATTGACACCCAAATAGGTCAGATAGTTTGCCCAACCCCAGGAAGCTAATGAATAATTGTTTGTTTTCTGGGACAAACATCTTGCACATGTTAATTATTTTTCACTTAAAAGAGATGTTTCTGGTAATTCACCCTCTGTTACCTAAAGCAATACAGAGTGTATAGCTGATGAGTCATTTCAGAAGCTCAATGAATTTGGGAGACAGTGGAAGGTAAGGTAATCAAATTTAATGAGCATTTAATATATGCTAGGTGTTGAGCTAAGTTCTCTATTATTGCATTCAGAGAGTTGATATGGCAATGAAACAGTTCATGTATTTGCTGTGAGGGGTTTTAGGATTGAAAGAGTATGTGGAAATGTGCCAAATCTCCTAAAATGAAAATTGAAGTTAGGATCTGAACCCAGATCTCTACCTCTGAAGTGCATTCCACTAAGCTAAAGCGCTGAGAGAATTCTCCATTATTCTGGTATGTCTGCAGATCTTCTGAGACACTGGAAGATTATTTGCTTACAGATAACTTCAAAAGCTAGCGTCACTGTCTTTCTAAAGATAGAGATCCAGCTAGACCTTCAAAAATAGTAGCCTCCCCCCCCACCTCTACATAGAGAAGGTTTGCTCTTAACTTCCCATGGTAAAAAAACAAACCCCTCCAAAACTACTCTGTTCCAAAGGGGAGGATGAGCTGGTTTGTCAGCAGCCATTTCTAAGATTAAGTGTTTCTTACACTTGGTGTTTCCAGGCTTTGGCATAGACCTGACTGCATAGCACCTGCCTGGGATGGCCCCACATTGTCCTCATGAAACTTGGTGGGCAAGAGAAACTGAGGTGAACATACCTTGCCATGAGTGAGAGATTGTCTAAATCCATATGAGTTCATTGTTTCCTTACCAGAGAAATTCATGGAACTGTAGTGAGCAAATATTAGGAGCTATGTAGCTATTTGATACACAGTATACTTTTCCAAATGAAAAAATCTTCCTGCCAGCTTGGCTAAAAGAGGTCCTATTTGCTCCCCAATAAAGCCTGTGCTCAAACAGTCAGATTATTTAATTGTTAAAAAAATATGGCATTTCTCAGGTTCATTGGTGATAGCTTAGATTCCATGCAACTCATTAAAAACCAAAGGAGACAAAATAACAAGCATTAATGAGATACTGTAACAAAAAGAACAGCAGTTATGTGCTAATTTAATTTGGTTAATTTACAATTGAGTTAATTTCTAAAAGCTCTAATTTTCTTTCTGATTCTGTGCTGTTTGCTATCATTTAAGAAATCATTCTGTGAGATTTCTTTGATAGTCCAGTCAGGAAGCTGGTTACCATTTCCAAGCAAATGCCCACCTTTTGCCAACTTAGTTCTTTTTAAGCTACCCACTCCTAGCATTCTTGATGAAAAAATTCATCCACTTTCATATATGCTTTCAATTATTGGTAAAGCATACCTCATGGCCCAGCCAACACTTGGCTATGCTGCATATATTAAAAATGCTTTAACCTTTTCTCATAGTTGTTGCAGTTTTCCTTTTGTGAACTCCTTTGCATTGAATAGAATCTTCCAGCATTGTCACACCTGATTCTGAAAAGGTACATGCTAGAAGCATGGTTACCAGGATGGCCACCAACTAACCTGTTAACAGTGCAGCTCTCCACTGCTCAGAATAAGCCTTGGCCCTTCTGGCCTCCAGCTTCCATAATTGTTTGCGCGCTCTCTGTCCGTCTGTATGAACATCTACCTGATCTGACTAACTGTCAGTCCTCTCTGACTGCTACCTGGATCTGAGTATGTGACTCCTCCATTCCCCCACACATATACTTGCCTGAGGTGCCCTGGGATCAGCTGTGCCCCCAATGGGTTTTGAGAACAGAGAGAAAAGGCAGATGTTCAGATAGCTGAGCAAGATGCAGTCCTCCGGTCTTTTCAATAACAACCGTGATAAAAGGAAGATGAATATGAAGGGCAGGGAGAACTGTTTGTGTGCAAGCAAGAGTTCATGGTTAATTTCTTCTCACTGAAAAAGTCTTTTGCATGAATCAGTCCATGGCAGACAGAAGTACTCTATTTCTTGTCAAGAGAATTAACTAGATTTTCATTGTGGGGAGATTGAAAAAAAAAAAAGTTTTCAGTCATCAGAAGCAAAATGGTCACAGTTATTTTTTGTACTCTATCCATATATTTGTGCCGGGGGGGTGAGGCCAATTGACGATATTAGGTCATTAATTTCCATAGTATCCTTGTGAGGGAGGACTATGGAAACAAATTATCCTTATTTTACAGATACTGAGAGAAGTAAACTGACCTCTCTGCAGTCTATGTAATTCATTGGTAGTAGAACCTTAAACCTCAGTTTAATTTCACAGTAGTTCATGGGTTTGATTAAGTTCTAAGGAAGCACAGAGGGGTCATGTCACTGAACACACTTCTCTACCTTGAAGATCTGTGGTCCTTTCTCATATTCCCCAAATGCTGTCGACTTACAAGAAGGCAGGGCGAGATCCAAGCAGAAAAAGAGGAATTGGGAAGTTCGCGTATGTTCAGAGAGAAAACCAGTTCAGTTCAGTCACTCAGTCCTGTCCGACTCTTTGCAACCCCATGAACAGCAGCATGCAGGCCTCCCTGTCCATCACCAACTCCCAGAGTCCTCCCAAACCCATGTCCATTGAATCAGTGATACCATCCAACCATCTCATCCTCCGTCGTCCCCTTCTCCTCCTGCCCTCAATCTTTCCCAGCATCAGGGGCTTTTCAGATGAGTCAGCTCTTCACATCAGGTGGCCAAAGTATTGGAGTTTCAGCTTCAACATCAGTCCTTCCAATGAACAGCCAGGACTGATCTCCTTTAGGATGGACTGGCTGGATCTCCTTGCAGTCCAAGGGACTCTCAAGAGTCTTATCCAACACCACAGTTCAATAGCATCAATTCTTCAGTGCTCAGCTTTCTTTATAGTCCAACTCTCACATCCATATATGACCACTGGAAAAACCATAGCCTTGATGAGACGGACCTTTGTTAACAAAGTAACATCTCTGCTTTTTGATAAGCTATCTAGGTTGGTCATAACTTTCATTCCAAGGAGTAGGCGTCTTTTAATTTCATGGCTGCAATCACTATCTGCAGTGACTTTGGAGCCCAGAAAAATAAAGTCAGCCCTGTTTCCACTGTTTCCCCATCTATTTGCCATGAAGTGATGGGACTGGATGCCATGATCTTAGTTTTCTGAATGTTGATCTTTAAGCTCTCCTCTTTCACTTTCATCAAGATGCTTTTTAGTTCCTCTTCACTTTCTGCCATAAGGGTGGTGTCATCTGCATATCTGGGGTTATTGATATTTCTCCTGGCAATCTTGATTGAGAAAACCAGAGAGAGAATTTAAACAAGTGACTGATTCAGTGGAATAAAACCATGATCAGTGCCTGATATTTTCCAGGTTTTAGAAATATCATAGAAAGACAATTTCCAAACGTATCAGCTGATATTTATATCAGCCTATATATATATAGGCTGTGCTGGGTCTTTGTTGCTGCATAGGTTTTCTCTAGTAGCTGAGAGTGAGGGCTACTCTCTAGCTGTAGTGCGGGGTCTTCACATTCTGGTGATTTCTCTTATTGCTGAGCACAGGCTCTAGGGCTTCAGTGATTGTGGTTCCCGGGCTCTAGGGCACAGGTTCAATAGTTGTGGTACACAGGCGTGGTTGGTCCACAGCATGTGGGATCTTCCCAGCCAGGGACTGAACCTGTTTCTTCTGTTTGGACAGACAGATTCTTTACCACTGCGCCCCCAGGCAGGCACTCCCTTCATCAGCTTCCCGGTTGATCAAGTGGGAAGGTTGCCACGCAGGGTCCATTAAAAGTGACACCAGTTGTCAGTGCCTCACCAAATTCTCTCCATCCTCTCTGAAATTGAGCTTCCTTGGGGTGCAGAGGTTGCCCTCAGGGACAGGGGACCGAGGAGGGGAAGAAGGTAGATATAAGACTGTAAATAAGACTAGGAATAAGTGCGTGCTCAGTCATTCAGTCATGTCCAACTCTTTGATGCCCCATGGACTGCAACTCACCAGCTCCTCTGTCCATGGGATTTCCCAGGCAAGAACACTGGAGTGGGTTGCGATTTCCTTCTCCAGGGAATCATCCCCACCCAGATCTCTTGTGTTTCCTGCATTGGCAGG